TGTGCTGCTTGCTCAGCCCGTAGTTCCAGGGCCACGGCGGAAGAGTCCGGGAAGTCACCGGAGTCTCGTCGGAGCTCCGGCGATTCAACATGCCGATATTGAATCGCCGAGGGAGATCGTACATGTAGACCTTGAGCGGCGATTCAGTGATGCAGGGTGTAGTGTGGTTGGGTAGGGATTGGAGGAGTGGGAAGAAATTTGATCTGACATTAACAGTTCCGGAGAAAATGGAGTAGGTGATGAGGAGAATGAGAATGAAGATGAGAGAGAGTATAATAACTGTTTTTTTCTCAACTATTTTCATTTTCTCTCACTAGAAACTGTGTCTGTATCTGTGTCTGTGTTTGTCCCTCCCTGTCTAGATGTGGACATGCGTAGACATACATAAATGTGTGTTGGATTCTTCGAGTGAGTGTGAGCTTATGAAGTGAGAAGAAGAAGATGAGCAGTTCCAGTTCGAGAGGTAATTGGAGAGATGAGCACTGAAACGGTGCATCATTGATATATTAATATATATTATAATATTATTATTAATTTTAATTTTATTTATTATATAAATTATAAATATTTAATATTATATTATATTATATTATTTATTAATACATTAATTAATATATATATTTTTTTTTTTTATTACACGAAAATCCTCCCTACCCTCTCGCAAGTCCAAGGCAGCGCCCCTTGCAGAGATCACCACGGTGTCCTGTTAGCCGTTTTGAGCGAGGAGACTATAACTTAGGAACTTGCCCCGACCTCCCAAGACAAGCTCCGTTTAAGTCAGGACCCGCACAGTGAGAGAGTATTGAATCCACACCAAATGCTGATTAGACAACTTGAGGTCCAACCTCTTAACCAACTGTACTTCGCCTAGAAAATTGGCCCAAAAAAAAAAGAAATTGAACCTGTGATCTTGGAACTTAAACCCCAAACCTTAACCCAAGCCTCACATTATTCTTTGGTCTCTAACATTATTAAAGACGGCAACAATGCTACATATCATTAAATTTCTACCACTAATATCACCACTAATGATGTGGCAAGTAAAAAAAAAAAATAAAACAAAAATTAAGACACAAAATACATGTGACACTAATTAGTGGTCCGCATCATTTTTATAAAGACTAAGAGTTAGAAAGTAGAGGCCAATGAAGATGTGCCACGTAAGGAGCGCTGTGTCGGGTTGCTGGAAGATTGATTGGGTTGGACTTTTAGGTGCAGTGGGAGGTAGAGTTGCGTCAAACGATTCTCTTGCACTTACAGTTACAGAGCATCTCTACCAGCATATTTATTTTTACATTTTTCTAATTTCATCTAAATAAAGTGTGTTTGAAAAATTAAAAAAATAATAAAAATTTTAAAAATATTCACTAAAAACAAAATAACACAAAAAAATTTTAAAAAAAACTTAGTTTTCAAAAAACTTAATTCAAAAAACTCAAACCAAATACACATAATAATAACGTTATAAAATGTCACATCAACAACAAAGATAGAAAAAAAATAATTTTTAATGATTAAATACATTTTGTCTAACCTTAAAGGCTAGTTATATGTAGATAGTGAATACGAATTAAGCTAAAATGCCTAATCCTGAAAAAATAGAGTCATACTAAACATTTTAACTAACAAACATTATATGCCTAGTGGATTGGAGATGCTCTGCGGGAAAAAAAAAATATTTTATTTTAAAATTTAATACATATTATACTTATTATTAAATTTATTTATATTAAAATATAATAAGAATTAAAATCTCGAAATTTTAATTGAATGTACCGAGTTACTATTTAAGTTCAAATAGAATGACCCATTAGGGCTTCACAAAATTTAAAATCCCATTTGGGCTTTAAAACAACCAATCCCATTTCCTAATTGGGCTATGCAAAATTTTAAGACAATTTGGGCCTGTAGGTCCGAATCCGGATCCTCCGTCGCCCTTTCCTGCGGCGCGTCCCTGTCGCCCTCCAAAACGACGTCGTTTTGGAGGGTTTTTTTTTTTTTTTTCTTCTATCTCTCTCTCTCTCTCTCTCTCAATCGGTTCTCAGTGCCCAAGTCATGGGAGGGGGCTCAAAAGTTGTAGGGAAAGGGGAGATGCAATCTGATCTTCGTTGTGATAGAGAGAGTGAGAGTTTAGAGAGAGAGAGAGATGGCGGAGAAGCAGCCAATAGTCGCCGGAAGGCGGAGGAGCAGAGGAGCTGAAGCGGGGCGAAGTTCGTAAATTTAGGTTTGATCCTGATGTTGCGAAGATGAGGACGGAGGGGGAGACCAAAATGAAGATGAAGAAAACCCAGATTTCTGTTCTGTTTCTGCTCCCTTCTGGTTTTCTTGCTCGGATCAAACCCAGATTCATTGCTGCAGAGAGAGAGAGAGAGAGAGAGAGAGAGAGATAACTCTTTCTTTTCTTTTTCCTCTTCTTCTTTCTTATTCTTCTTCTTCTTCCTGGATCTGTAAACTTCAAGTGTAGAATTGTTTCTTTTTTTTTTTAAATGTGAGATATATATATATAAATGTTGACCAGACCAGCATTCTTCGTCCCTCTTCTGATATCATTTCTTGGGAGTAATTTCAATTTTTGAAAATTTTCACAGACAAATTTAGATGTTTTTAAACATTAAAAATATTTGTAAAGAAATTTGGAATTTTTTTTTACCAAAACAATAGAAATCTGAAATAATTTTTTGAGTTTGAAAACAAAACAAAGATTCCATAAAATTCCCAACACTTGAAACCATGTCTAACCCAAAACCTTGATCTACAACCCCAAAACCGCCAAATCTTTCAGAATATATATATATATATATATATATTAACATTTCTATTTGGCTTTTTCCATATTTGAAAAAATAATATTAGAAATCTGTGTAGATTGGGTAATCTTTCTGAAGTTAGATTTGTAAGAAAAAACAGATTTGATTTTACAGCTATGGTAATTTTTTTCAACACACCTATGGTAATCTTTATGAATTAGATTTGTAGATATTTTTTTTTTATTTTTTATTTTTTATTTTTTGTTGATGTTACTCCTTCTTCCTTATTGATGTTGATCAACAAAATCTTATTTTTCTTAATCTTTTTTTGGTCCCAGGCCGGAAGAGGGATGCGCCGCAGTGAGAGAGAGAGAGAGAGAGTTATCAGTGAGAGAGAAAGAAAAAGAAGAAGAAAAAAAAAAAAAAACCTTCCAAAACGACAGGGACACTCCGCAGTAAGGGTGACAGAGGATCCGGATTCCTGTAGGTCTACATATCAGATATTAAACTATTGAGAGCAAATCTTAACCAAAAACCCCCATTTGGACCTTTAAAACATCCGAACCAATTCTTAATTGGGCTTCTCGAAATTTTAAGGCCCACATATGAGATGTTAAAGACATGAAAACTTAGCCAAAAGGCCCGGAAAGGAATGGTTTAAAAAGTCACTGGGCTGGCCCTTTTAAAGCCCACCACACCTGTCCTCTTTTTCTCTCTTTCTCCACGTGGGACCACATAGTAGGTAATGCTTCACCCTCTCTCTAGGACTTTTGAACTTGAATCATAGCACTTTTTCTTGCGAGCGGATCCTCTAGGGTAACTCTCTAGAGTGATCCTCTAGAGTGGATGATCCGACGGCTGTGGTTAAGCCTCACCAAAACGACGTCGGGATTTAAAAAAAAAAAAAAAAAAAAAAAAAAAACAGATTCGGGGATTTCAAACTTCCCCCCACATATTGAAGAACTATACAGACAGACGGCGGGAAGAAGCGAGCGAAACAAGAGAGTGAAGAAGAGTTTGTTTGAGGCCGATACCTGCGTCCCCGTTGCCCCGCCGTCGTGCAGTTGTGCCATCGCCCCTGCTCCCTGCTCTGCTCCAACCGATTGAAACGCATATAGGTATAGTTCGATTTTGTTTTTTTTTGTCTCTTCTAAATCGAAGTTTCTGAATCTGTGGGTTTGTGTCTGAATCGAAGTTTCTAAATCGAAGTTTCTGAATCTCTTCTAAATCGCATATATGAACAAGGATTGTTTTTAAATTTACAGATTCATGTTTTAGAAGAGACCAAACCCACAGATTCATGTCAGACATCAATTTTAGTGTCTGAACAAGGATTGTAGGAATATAATTATAGGTAGTGAATCATCTGTTAGGAGGTGAACCACCTGTTAGGCCTAAGTAGTATAGGTAGTGAATCATGTATGAAGCTGTACACGAACGAATTGATGCTCTTTACAGATTCAGACATCAATTTTAGTATCTGAACAAGGATTGTTTTTTTAGAAGGGATTGTGTGAATCGAAGTTTCTCTTAGGCTAGAATTCATGTCTGTAAATTTAACAATCAATTCCATGTTTGATAATTGAACCCTGAAAGAATCATTAGTATATGGAACTTAAACTTTGAAGCCCAAAACAAACACAATTGAACTCTCAAACTTATTTTAATAAGAGGCACACTCAGAATTTTATTGAAAGTATTAGTGAAGTAGTTATAAAAAAAAAAAAAAATAAGGGAACAAAACTACAAAAGAAATACATTGATCCTTAAAGGAGGCATGGCCAAACAGTTTGCAGTGGCTTATGTACTAGTAGAATTTAAACTTTAAGTCAAAATTGAATCCACCAGGAGTATGCAGCACTGTTTATTGACTGAAGCAACATAAATAGTTTAGGTAACATATTTTTAATTATATATTTGGAACAATAGTTTAGATATATATATATATAGATATAGATTTGAATTTGATTCTCTTTCAGTGTGTTCAGTATGTTGCAGAGACTGTTCTCTTTGAACTTTGTAATCCAATCAACAATAAAAATGAATAACATGAGACATGCCCTCTCTCATTTTTTTTCCATGCACTGTTAATTGCATTTTCTAAACCATTTCTTGATCTATAATGTTCCTTGTTTCTTTATATATATTCAAGTGGTACATTTGTTATTCGTTGATTATCTTATTCAGTTTGTATACAGTTTTTATGCTAATATGGAGCACTTCTTAATTTTTTAAGTGACTTGGCACATTCAAATGGAACCTAACAATCATGAGAATGACGGGGGTGAGTGTGATTGGAAGCCTAGAGTTCGCATGACGTTTGATACAGAACAAGAAGCATATGATTTCTATAATACTTATGGAGGAAGGTTGGGCTTTAGTATTAGAAGGGGTTATGTAAACAAGAGCAAAGACGGGCAAATCACTTCAAGGCAATTTGTTTGTAATAAGGAAGGATTTCGGGTTGTCGACAAGCGAGATTCATTAACAAAAAATCCTAGGCAGGAAGTGAGGACTGGTTGTCAAGCCCGAGTTGTCATTAAGTGGGATAGGAATATTCAGAAATTTTTTGTTAGTGATTTTGTTGAACAACATAATCATATCTTCGTACCAGCAGAATGTACGCATATGTTACCATCCCAAAGGAAGATATCTGCATCACAGGCAACCGAAATAGATTTAGCCGAAAGATCTGGAATCCGTCTTAATGCTGCATTTGAGCTCATGGGTAATGAAGTTGGTGGAAGGGAGTCGCTTGGGTTTACAAAACTTGACCAAAAAAATTATTTGAGAACGAAGAGGCAAAACAGTTTAGCATATGGGGAGGCAGGTAGCATTTTGCAATATTTTCGTGACAAATCATTGGAGAATCCATCTTTTTTTTACTCGGTCCAATTAGATAACGAAGAGCAGATTACAAACATATTTTGGGCCGATGCTCAAATGATCATGGATTATGGGCAATTTGGTGATGCTGTGACTTTCGACACTACTTACAAGTTAAATAGTGCACATAGACCATTTGCGTCTTTCGTTGGATTTAACCATCATAGGGAAACTGTGATATTTGGTGCAGCTTTGATGTATGATGAGACCGCCGATTCTTTCGTATGGCTGTTTAGAAGATTCTTGGAGGCAATGTCAAGTAAGGCGCCAAAAACAATTTTTACGGATAAGGATGCTGCAATGGCTAAGGCCATACCTATTCTCATGCCTAACACAACCCACCGCCTTTACACTTGGCATTTGATGCAAAATGCATTAAGGCATGCAAATTCTATCTTCAAGGATAAGGCGATGAAGGATAAGGAGATGAAGAGTGTTTTATACACGTTTATATACGACATTGAGGATGAGGAAGAGTTTATGTTAAAATGGGAGGAAATGCTTGACAAGTATGAAGTAACAGATAATCATTGGTTGAAGTTAACATTTGGGGTCAAGGAAAAATGGGGTTGGCCATATGTTAGAAATGCATGGGGTGCGGGCATGAGTAGCACCCAACTTAGTGAATCCTTTAATGCTTTCTTGAAGGATTTCATTCAATCTGATCATAACTTAATGCAATTTTTCATGCATTTGGGTCGAGTTTGTCTGAGAAAAGGTACAAAGAGTTACAAGCTGAATATGCTCTATGCCAAAGTTGCCCAGGGTGAATATTAAAGTGAAGATTATGGAGCAAGCTGCAGCTGTTTACACAAATAAAAATTTTGAAGAATTCCGGATGAGTATGTCAAGTCCCTTGAAGTCAACATTGAAGAAATTGAAAATGATGGTGAGAGTACCGTTTATACGGTTCTTGATAGTGATGGTATAAAGGTGAGGAAGGTGAGGCAGGAGTGTGATGATTCGGTCACTTGCAATTGTAGGAAGTTTGAAATGAAGGGCATTTTTGTGTAGTCATTGTTTGAAGATCCTTAGAGAAAGACTCAATTTGAAAGAGATTCCTTCACAATATATTCTGAAGAGATGGACTAAAAAAGCAAGATCTGAAAATGTGAAAGATAGGTGTGGGCATGATATTCAGGTTGATGTAAGATTGCATCAAACTTCACGTTATAGGTCATTGATGGCAATATTCAGATCAGTAGCGTGTATAGTTTCTGAAAGTGAGGAAACATATAATTTGACGGTCGAGAAAGCGGATGAATTAATTGCAGACATTGAAACCATGTTAACCGCAAAATTCAATATGCCTTGTTCAGATACTATTCAACAAGAAAGCCCCCCCAACACATGCCCCGAAAGCTTTGAAGTGGATGGTGTAGCGGATAAAAATGTAGTCCAAGCAAAAGGACTCAAGAGAAAAGAGTGCACTAGCAAGGGACGAAGGCGGACAAAAGGTGGTTTGGAGCTTGCGTTGGCAAACAAAAATAAAACAAGTTCACATAATGCTTCTCAAACTTCCATATCTGTTACTCCTCAAACTCCTCCCTTATTTTCGGTAAGTGTTCCTGAAGCACCTCCCTTATTTCCTCAGTCAGCTCCTTTATTTTCAAGTGCTCCTCAACTTCGTCCATTCTCGCCGAGTGTTCCTCAAGTTAGAGCTTCTTCGTCTCAGTTTATGTATCCCGCCTATGATGCAAGTTAGTTTAATAAGAAGTTTTATTATCTATTTGTAGGTGACTATTATCATTTTAGATTGATATGTGTTTGTTATTGTTGCAGCCAAGTTTTCTTCATCACAATATGCATTTTTCAATGCCATCGATGTATTCCGTCCATGGAACCTATCAAGCATTGCTTAACAATGCAAGTAGTTATCACTCGCAAGCTTCAAATAGTCCCGCCTGTAGTGAAGTAATTTAGTTTTCACCTTTCCTCATTGATTTTGTCATTAATTCATTTAAAGTTCCATTTTAATTTATGGTGCCTTTGATGTAATATTAATATCTTGTTTTTTGTAGGTACTATACGGTCGTGGTCGTGGTCGTGGCTGTGGCCGTGGGCATGGGGATGTCGATCACAAGCGAACATCTTAGTGTTATTTTGTTTTCGGAATTTTTGTGAAGGGCATTTTGTTGGATATGTAATATTCAAAACCTGAAATGTTGCTGAAATTTTGTTTCAATTGTTGCTTAAATTTTTCCTAAAATTTATGTTCAAATGTTAATGAACTTTTGATTAGTTTTTGCTTCATTTTTGTTGAATTTTCTGTGCAAATGTTGCTGAAACTTTGGAGAATGAGCTTCATACATAACTACGATAAGGATGGTCGTACTGTGTTACAGATTAGGAATTAGGCGAATGAGCTTCATATATATGCATTAGTAAGATAATGTTGCTGGTATTGTGTTGGGCAGCAGCATATGTAATCTGTTGAAGCATATCTCTTAGTTATGCATATATCTTAGTTATGCATATATATGAAGCATACAAACAGCATGGATTCAACAGAAAATTGTGAAGTATTTTAGTTATGCATATATCTTAGTTCCTGGTGGCAGCATTCTAGGAAAGGTGGAATAATATTTCACTCTATTTACTGTTGCCTCATGCAAATTGTGAAGTACCTGTCTTGGGCACAAGATAATGTGTAAGGCCACAACAGATGCAGCTGCTGGTGTAAGGCCACAACAGATGCAGCTGTTGGTGTAAGGGCACAACAGCAACATAGGTTCACATGGGTGTGTTATTCACATCCCATATCTCCATTTCCGGAAGGAGGATGATCTGTTGCTTTTGAAGCACTGTGTTGAGGACTACAATGTACCTCCTGAGCTACAATGTACCTCCTGAGCACAGGTTCTCCTTGCTAAATTTCAAGTTATAAATTTCTTTTTGTAATTATTTTCTTTACTTCTTGTATTAATTCTGTTAAAAATGGTATGTAGGTTGATGACATGAACACCACTTCCCATTGGATTTTCCCAAGTTCAAATCCCAACACTTGGCATGGTTCTGCACGTAATGCCAGATTTGTGTATGATTTGGAGGCTTCATATGGTGATGAGTTTTTAAAATCTGCGCACAATTTTTATCATGTTTACTCGACAATCATGGCATCTAAAAACTATTGAGTATTAATGACTTTTAATATAAATGGCTTCTTTTGGGGGTTGTTTGGAAGTTCTGGAAATGAAATTGTTTTATTGTCCTGTACATGGCATGTTTAGATGCAGCTTTCATCATGATTGGAGCCAGCCAGCAAAGCTAATTACTAAAGTTGTGCCCTAGATATGTATTAAAAATAACTTCGGCTTTCATATTGGTTCAATAAGCATTTGAGTATTTGCTGGTATTTTCTGCAATGGCCATTCAAGATGATGGATTTTTAAAGTTATAATAAATGAGATATCAAACCTGGATGAGGAAATAAGATTTTGCTTTGATGTCCTAACATGGTCTTAGTTGATAAGTTAGTTTAACATGTCACCAGGCTTATAAAAAAAGAAAAGAAAAAGAAAATAGAGTTAAAATGTCAGTATGAAGTTGCAGGTTAACTTGCAAAAACTACATTAGAGTATACTAAGAAGTTAGTTATTCACTCAAATTGAACATATGCTAGGGATTACCAAATTAAAGCACAGTATTGAACTGACCATGCAGGTGTATGCAGTATTCATATCCTCTCTTTGAATAAGTTGGTACATGTTTATAGTGTAAGAAGGTTGCCCTCATCTGTTTTGTGAGTTATGTGGCTTGGATTATGTGAAGCTTCTATCATTCTGATTTTAAGCATGCAAATCGTTCACATGGAAGTTCTTGGGCAAGTATTTGTGGTTTTGGATTTCAATGGTTTTCTGCTGATTGTTACAATTATATCATAATGCTTGCCATTTTTTGTGGAGGTTGGTGTTTTTATCAGTAAGATTCTGGGTAGTTGAGAATATCCTTATGCACGATCTCTTTTATGTATATTTTCTCATGCTGTTGTATTGGACCTTTTGGAGCTTCTTATGTTATCTATTGAACTGATGAGTAAGTGTGCTGACACCTTAAATATGAATGGAAGGACAAAAGATTAGTTATTAATTCTGCCACCCAGCTCTCTTTTATGTATTTATGAGGTGAAAAATTGTGGGTTTTAATAGCTCCAGAATTTTTATGACATTTGTCTGCAAATGTCCTGCAGTATCAAAGCAAGCAGGTTGAGGAGGTTACCTGCACAAACTGGAATATATAGAATTTCCAATTATGTTAACGGTTCTTCAGAAATTGATTTTGTTCCTTCAAGCTCAGCAGAGGTACCTTAACAACCCTTGGTTTGTTATCTTGTGAATAATTGACATGTTCACTGTTTCACTGCTAGATCTAGTTTCATCTGTAAGTTCAGCAGAGACAAGCTCAGCAGAGGCATCCCTTTTCTTGTCATCTGTAAGTTCCATTCATGACTGCGTGCCCTTGTTATTGGAGAATTGTTTCAGCATGCATTGTAAAATTTGATAGTCCTGATGTTTGTGGCTCGATTGTACCTCGGTTTGGTTTTGTAATTGAATAGAAGGGAACAGAATCTGCCAGTTAAATATTGTTCAGAAAAAGTTGTGTATTGAGGGGAGACAAAGTTGCTTTTGCAGACGATACTACATCTTTTTAAAGCAATAATATGACTTATGTTTGGTGGTAGGTGAAATATCATAGCTTTCGTCCTTTGTAAATTGACTTGGTTACTGTATCAATCTCTCTTAGTTGTGATTCATTACAAATTTGTAGTGGTTTTATGGTTTGTAGTTATCATAGAAGAGTGAGGTTTGTATTTTCCATCATTTCATGCAGTTCTAATAATAACTGAAGTAGTGGAAATTGCCCTGGGTGCATTTGGAATGTGTTCATATACAATTACAGAACAACATAGACTACTATGTTGAATTGTTTAGATTGTAGCATTAAAAAAGCCAGTGTACTTGCAAAATGTAATAAAATTGTTTGTGATCTTTGACATGTTTTGGTTGCAATAGTTTAAAGGGTATGTCTATTTGTCCAAAATTCACTTTTGGAAACATTTTGTTTGAAGCTGGATCTGGGTTTGAATCTGTTTGGCTTCTAGGCAATGCGCGAGGAATTACAAGTGAGCCCTCCTATCATTAGCCTAGCCTCAGCGTGAATCTACAAATGAGCCCCCCTCTCCTCTGGGTTGGTATCGTCATTTTCAGTGAGTGGTGTTGGCCTGTAAATAGAATGATAGCATCAATACAATACTTGTTATATCCATCATGGTGTTGGTTTGTAGTAGAATTTCCAGATTTGGACAGTTTCATTGATTCTTGTTCCAGCCAAATGGGGTTCAATTTGGAATACAGTGAGACAGTTTCATTGAACATGTTATTCAATTCAACATGTTCAACTCAAACAAATCTGTTATACACTCAATAGATTTCACAAACCAATAATTCAACAGATTTCATCTCAAACGTTCAACCTGTTATACATTTCCACCTGTTTGGCAGCATACATTTCAACTTTAGCATACATTTGGCAGCATACATTTCAACCTGTTTTTGGAAAAGTATCTATGTATTGTTTGAAAAGTCAAAAACAAGGTCTGCCAAGTAGAGTGATCTCTATTTGGCAGCATACATCTCAAACAGATTTCATCTCAAACAAACCTGTTATACACTTGTTTTTGCAAGCCATAAGATTTTAAAGCACCAAAAAAATATTACAAAACAAGAACAGAAGTACATTACATTCATAGCATGTTCGAAAACCTAAAATACAAAAGTACATTGTTCTTGAATACACAAAATACACAAAGTAGCTTACATTGAGTCATTTACAAGATAAAGTACAAAAATACACAAAATACAATGACATAAGTCATTGCCTTGAACATCTTCTCCATCCTTTCAAGCCTTCTATCATGCTCACCAAGCGTTGTCCTCAGATCATTAATTTCTTCTGTTCTTGACCGAGGTCCAGCATTGGTTGAAGCTGATGCGGTAATGTCGTCGTCGTCGTCGTCGTCGTCGTCGTCGTCGTCGTCGTCGTCGTCGTCGTCGTCGTCGTCGTCGTCGTCGTCGTCGTCGTCGTCGTCGTCGTCGTCGTCGTCGTCGTCGTCGTCGTCGTCGTCGTCGTCGTCGTCGTCGTCGTCGTCGTCGTCGTCGTCGTCGTCGTCGTCGTCGTCGTCGTCGTCGTCGTCGTCGTCGTCGTCGTCGTCGTCGTCGTCGTCGTCGTCGTCGTCGTCGTCGTCGTCGTCGTCGTCGTCGTCGTCGTCGTCGTCGTCGTCGTCGTCGTCGTCGTCGTCGTCGTCGTCGTCGTCGTCGTCGTCGTCGTCGTCGTCGTCGTCGTCGTCGTCGTCGTCGTCGTCGTCGTCGTCGTCGTCGTCGTCGTCGTCGTCGTCGTCGTCGTCGTCGTCGTCGTCGTCGTCGTCGTCGTCGTCGTCGTCGTCGTCGTCGTCGTCGTCGTCGTCGTCGTCGTCGTCGTCGTCGTCGTCGTCGTCGTCGTCGTCGTCGTCGTCGTCGTCGTCGTCGTCGTCGTCGTCGTCGTCGTCGTCGTCGTCGTCGTCGTCGTCGTCGTCGTCGTCGTCGTCGTCGTCGTCGTCGTCGTCGTCGTCGTCGTCGTCGTCGTCGTCGTCGTCGTCGTCGTCGTCGTCGTCGTCGTCGTCGTCGTCGTCGTCGTCGTCGTCGTCGTCGTCGTCGTCGTCGTCGTCGTCGTCGTCGTCGTCGTCGTCGTCGTCGTCGTCGTCGTCGTCGTCGTCGTCGTCGTCGTCGTCGTCGTCGTCGTCGTCGTCGTCGTCGTCGTCGTCGTCGTCGTCGTCGTCGTCGTCGTCGTCGTCGTCGTCGTCGTCGTCGTCGTCGTCGTCGTCGTCGTCGTCGTCGTCGTCGTCGTCGTCGTCGTCGTCGTCGTCGTCGTCGTCTGCGAACCACCTGAAGTAATTGCAGTGGTTGTTCGTAGACTACAATGGACAAGAATTAGTTAATCAATAAAGGACAAACGAAATTTGTAAAAAGTAACAAATTCATTTATAAAACAGGTACTTACATATTTTCTTGGGCAAACAAAATAGACACGTCCTTTATTTCCATTTGCATTGGTTCGTACAATACGCACGGAAGCTATTCTTCCACAATTACAAAACCTTGGCTTTAATC